GGAGGAGGAAAGGATTGCCTGGCACATTACAGAGGATAGCACAAAGTTTTTCTCCCCTACGGCTCATGGGGAAACAGATCACAGGTGCTTTTAATTATCTCGGAAGTTTCATTTCCAGCTCCAACCAATCCATTTAGCATCCTAATTTTCAAGATTATTCATCATCCGATGACGAACCTGAGTCTGATGCCCTATTAAAGTCATCTCCTGCCGTCGTGTCCTAAAACCAGAGGAAGAGCATTCGTACAAGGAAAACAAAATTATTTATAAGTGAAATTTTTAAGCTTAGTCAAACATGCACTAAATACTACAGGAAACAGGTAGGGTGCATCATGCTTTAACAAAAAACTGAGGGTTGTGATTGGTGTACATTATGGACACCATAATGGTGTCCATAATGTACACCAATCATTATTCAAAAACTGAAATGGCTGAGATATTGGTTGGAAAACCTACCTGCATTTTATCCCAATCTTTCAACTTGGAATTTGTTAACATGTAATTATCACGCAAAGGGGCCCATGCAGGTCCTTCGCCATCCACTGAGCTACTAGATGCGCCGACCTATATGTGACAAACCATAAAAATTTGATAGTGAAAATCAACTCCCTTAACGGTGGTATAAGAATCGGTAATGAAAATCCCCCTGTTACTGTACAGGCTCCCATAGCAGTAACGTATTTTTGTTCCTGCATTTGGTCATATAATCCGACTAGAGATGGTTTTATTCATTGTTGATGTTCCGGCTGTTAAATTTAAATATACTTTTCTAGGGCTCGATACTAGTCCATTATGATCGAAGTCAAATTGTGATCCCTTTAGTAAAGCAAATTCAACCTCAAAAGTTCCATGGTTCCTCCCAATAGAATGGCAATGAGAGACAGAAACGAGAGAGAACCTTAGCAACAGTCCCAGCAGATTGGGAAGCTCCCTTGCCTAACTCCGAAAAGAAGGCTTCCTTCCTTCGCTTCTTTAAAACTGGCTCAAACACATTGACAAGGATCAAATAAAGGAATTAGACATGATTATGATTATAAAATCATTAAGGATTTGAAATGACAGCATACACGAGTTCAAGCAAATATCAATACATAATTTCATTTCAGAAACATACAGAGGTAAAAACCCCTAGAATGCTACATGATTAATATGATATGCTGATATAGTCTCCATAGAAATAGAAAAAAACTAGGATTTTAAAGCTTTCTCAACCATGAAAATCTTTTAGCTTTTTGGGTCCAAGATGAACAGGCAACTCTTCTTGAAGAAATGAACAGAATAGTTGTACTGAAAGAGAGAGAGAGAGAGAGAGAGAGAGAGAGAGCCAGTATAGGAAGTAGGAACCATGTCTCAGATCCTTAATAAATTTGTGATCTTACTAATGTTGACATTGTAAAACTTCCTTACATGTACAAACAGAATGCTATTTCTGTGACTGGCTTCTCTCTAGAATTTTTTTAAAAGATTTGAAGAGTTCAATTTTCTCACTTCTTGTTGAACTAAGGTACATATTTTTTGCAAGTGAGAACATTCATAATGGCATTGTGTATCATGTTATACAAACGTAGAAAAGAGGTGTGGTACAGCGCATTAGTGCCCCTTGAAGCTTCTTTCTCCAAAGTAAAGAAGGATTTTGCCTTCATTGAGAAGATATTAATGTGCTGCGCTATAGCTTACTGAGCAAACGTAGGCTTAGGTCGAAAGCACAAAGCAATGGACTGAGCAGTCTGACCGTGAACTGTGCAAAGCTTATAGCTCAACTGACCTACACCCTTTGTGAGGTGAACTAGGGAAGCGAACACCCCCCCCTCCACCCCCACCCCGTGGGGGAACTTTTGGGTCTGTATTGGAGGATACCAATAAGATCTCATTATTTTAGGTATACCATATATCTTATGTAATGTAGAATGAGGAGCTCATTAGTTTAACCTTTATTCAACGGACAACAAGACACCTCTACCGATATCCAATCAATACCAGCATGGATTCACCGAAATCAATTACGTCCAATGAGAGTGCCATAAACCCACAGTACAACACAACTATAAGGACATAAACAAAACAATTGGAACAAATAAACTATGCAAACGCGAGTTAGATTGAATTGACAAATGAATCCAACCAAATATTCAAAAAGCAGTTACTTTGTGCCACTCTTTACAACTATGCCAAAGAGTGGGAATGCTCGAGATATAAAACTGCCATGGTTCAACTTATGAAACCCCTAAAAAGGTCAACAAATATGTTTAATAGCGTTCACCACATTCAGACATACATGTTCCTGTTGATTACAAATACTCGCAGATTTTTGTGGAACTTGGACGACGATAGACTCGTATCCACCCCCACCAATTCTAGAAGGTCCCAGAAGAAGAAAAACGTGCAAGTGGGCGGAAATACCAGAATCTGTTAGAGAGGGGAAATTGGAGGGAAAGGTCTATTAGAAGTTGGCTATAAATATAGGCAGAAATTAGCCACATAGGAGGCATTATTAAGAGAGTATTGGAGTGGTTACTGTTATCGTTCTCGGTTACAGCCTTCTATAGGCTTTTGTTATCATTTCATTTCCTGTACTCGTTCTTGTTTCAATAAAAAGTTTCTCATTCAGCAATTGTTCTAGTTCATTCCAGTTGGTATCCTATCAAATTGGTATCAGAGCAATGATCCTAGAGCCAATGGAAGCAAATTTCAGCAAACAATTGGAGGAGAGATGGAGTTCATTCTTCAATCGGTTGGAGAAGCTGATAATGCAAAGGGAAGAAGACCAAGACAAATATTCGGGCTGGATGCTAAGGAAGACTAGAAATACCAATATTCTATAGCGAAAACACAGAATGGTGGGTGTCGGAGGCGGAGAAGATTTTCTCCAGAAATCAATTATCAGAAGTTGAGAAAATAGACGCTGCACAGCGTGTTTTGGCTGGGAAGCATGGGATTCATTTCAGCAGGTCGATCGACAAAGACCGGTGAAAACTTGGGAAGAATTGAAGAGTTTGATGTTGGGTCAATTTCGTCTGAAGAGGAATTCCTTCGATGAAGAATTTTCAGAGTGTAAGTGTACGAAATTGGGGAAGAAATGGGATGAGCAGAGGCAGGAAATGATGGAAAATGGAAAGGTAAAAATTATCGAGAAGGACTCCATGGTGGAGGAATTCCAGCGTGTAAATGTTTGGATCTGAAGCAGCAACCACAGAAACAAACAGATTCCATTATTGGGGTGTTAGAGTTCCTTCCAGTAGTTGCATCAACATCTGGAAGCTTAGACAGCGACAGTCCCAGTACCTACCAACTGGGGTTAGAGGGGCGTATGTGTCGTGAGGAGACCGGGAGATTGGAAAATCGAAATCAACTCCTGTCCGAGTTGGAGGGTCATTATCGGACTTTAGAGAGGAGGGGACTACTCTGGAGGTCGTGGTGGCCACTACCAACGATTCGTGAAGAGGTGTTGGAGAGCAATTGTGTGCAATGGGAATCACGTTGACTGGGCATTATTAGGGGGCAAGCCCAATGGCTAGATTCTGAAATTCTGCCCAAATATGAGGAAAGTGGAGCAAGTATAGACAGCCGGAACCATCGTGTGGTAGGAACAGGGAAGATGCAGACGCGAAGCCCGAGACTGGACAAATTATTGGAGAATTTATCAGCACCATCGTCGAAGATATCAGAGATTCTGGAAGGAAAGGGCGACAATGGGTACAATTCTCTAATACGGGCTGAAGTCCCAATGCTCATCCCTCAAGGTTTAGGCCAGATCAGTGAGTTGGCCCACAGGGTTAGTTGGCCCATAGGGTTGAAGACTGGCATGTAAGGAAGCAAGCCCATCTACTTTATGGCCCATCTAAAGCTAAAATTAATACCTATAGCCCAAATCCACATTCTCTTAATTTTCCTGTCCACCCACGTAACTATTCTCACCAGATGCCATATCAAACTAACACAATCAATACCAAATCCTCCGCAAATTCCTTTTTACGACCATTGACGGCAAATAAAGGAGCTCCTCTGTTCAAGAAATTTACAGATGTCGATTTGCAAATAAAAAGAGAAAAGATTATGTTACCGTAGTGATGCAAAGTACAAACTGGGTCGTAGACAACCCCCTACGTTATTTTGTATAAATGGACTCAAACTTTGGGAGTGCCTTTTGCGGGTCCAACTGGTTATGGGATCTTAATGGGTGCTATACTTGTAGTTTTCAAAACGGGCGAGATAAACATATCAATGACGGAAACATTGGGTGAGTTGATGACTCGATGGGAGAACCACGAACGTGAAGATGAGGGATTGGCAGTAGCAACATCGGAGCAATCCATTAATTTCGTAGACAACAAAAAAATTCATGATTTGAACAGACCACAAGGAGGAGAATCGAAGAAATGGCAAATGGATAAATTTCCCCCTCTCTAGGGACGGTCGGAGGCAAATACCCAAGAACCAATCCTAGGTTCTAGAATTGCTGCTGAGGGAGTATTTGGATTCCAAATTGGTAAATGAAGACATGGGGATGGTTTAGCGAACTGGGCTGACCGGAACTTGGGGAGCAATTCCCGCGACAGTTGCTTCTTCATTTCCGTCAAACTCAATAGGGAAGTCTGTGCGAAAAGTTTCTGGACATACGACAAACAGGTTACATGGATGAGTTCTGGAGATATTTTGAAGTTGCACCAGTAGTGGGTATTCGGGAAGAGGTCATGGGAAGCAGATGAGCTCTAAATGAAGGTGGCCCGACTAACTTAACACAGAAATCAAATAGCTGAATTACCACCTGGAGAAGCTTTGAAGCAGTATCAACGGAAGGAGGATAATTTTTTTAGTGGGTTGAAGTCTATGATATGGGCTGAGGGCAAGATGTTAAAGCTTCAGGAGATGGGCCATATCTTGGAGTGGGCCAGAAAAGTTAAGGATAGAAATGAACCCAAAATTCAATCCCCAGCAAATTATAAGATTAATACATATACTTCAATCCAAACTCTAATTTCAGAAGTTCCGTTTGGGGGGCCAAATGGTTATGGAATTTGTATAGATAACATTTTATTGGTGGGTGGACAGCTGGCTACACAAACTAACAGTCGCCACAAGCTTACTCCAAACATGGATCACCACCGATATGGAATTTTGAATTTTGAAATTAAGCCGAACTTCCACCTTGAGGGCAAGGTGGATTTTGGGGCAGCGGGTATTGATACTCTCCTATCCACCCCCACCCATTCTAGAAGGTCCCAGAAGAAGAAAAACGTGCAAGTGGGTGGAAATACCAAAATCTGTTAGAGAAGGAAAATTGGAGGGAAAGGTCTGTTAGAAGTTAGCTATAAATATAGGCAAAAATTAGCCATATAGGAGGCATTATTAAGAGAGTATTGGAGTGGTTACTGTTCTTGTTCTCGGTTATAGCCTTTTATAGGCTTTTATTATCATTTCATTTCCTGTACTCGTTCTTATTTCAATAAAAAGTCCTTTATTCAGCAATTGTTCTAGTTCATTCCAGTTGTTATCCTATCAAAAGACTCTATAATTAGCATGCTCAAAAAGGTTAAACAAGAATGATGACATGATTAATCAATTATATGCTAACAGAAAGCCATGAAAAGAAATTCTGAAACTAAATATCACTAAGCCTCTGTTCGCCAGACGTTAAACGCTACTAGTAAATTACCTTTTCTATTAAGTCAAATTCAAAAATTTATTTGACCGACACATTCACAACTACTTACCCATTAATTAACCACACATTTCGTGGAACACAATACTATTTCTCCTCAAAAGTTACCAAGTCCCTGTTTGCGGACCATTATTTGGGGAAAAAAATGTTTCGAATGGTGATTTTTAAGAAAATGTGTGGTTAAAATGTGGGAAAAAGTTTTGGATTCACATGCAAAATATTTTATTGTGAGAATGTGTGTTGAAAATGAGTATGTAGAAAAAAAAGTTTCCAAATAATTGTTGTCAAACAGACGCTAATAGCTTTACCCAAAAACTCCTTAACTTGGATCCGTAATCGAGAGGAGAATCATAAGATTAAAAAATACTGATTTAGCTACAAAATAAAAATGAGACTTATTGTATCGATTAGTACCTTTTTCATCTTTTGACCTTGAAGGATTTAATCCTTTCTGAGCATTTTGGGCCTTGTTTACCTGCACAGATAAGCAAGAATGAGTTCAAACATAGAAAAATGTGATGGTGTGAAAAAGGAAAAAAGGTTGACTCAGACAAGAAAAAAGTGTGTAATCTAAAATAGACATAAGAACTTACAGCATTAAACAACTTGACCACTGAAAATCCAGAGCAGTACATGTATTTATGTGATAAAAAAACATGATCAGTCTGAAATCAAAATATGTATCTCCATTCAGAACACAAACTTAACCATCAAAACAACTTTATGTACCTCCTTTAGTTGCAATTCCTAATAGATACTTCTCATGAGAGTCCAAATAGTTGGCAGGTTTCACGTGGCCCTTCTCTCTGACCTTTTATATCAAAATGATCCAAATAATTTATAAATCTAAAAAGAAAACGAGAACACCACAGGACTTAACAAGTCAGAAAGCAATACCGAGTGCTTCTCCTTCTTCGCTTCCCCCTTATCCTTCCGCTCCAATTCTTCTTCGATAAGCTTCTCTGCTAGAAGCTTCTTATTGGCAGATAATACAGGGCCCTGCATACATATCAAAATTAAGTAAAGATTCTCATTACAAACTTATGCAGACATTCGACAAGTTTTATGATCTTTGCATCGAAGGTAGCATCTTACCAATACATCACTGGAAGTAGTCTTTTTTACGATTTTCTTGAATGCGACACTAAATGCTTTTATACCCTCTGTAAACTTCATGATTCCCGGCTGAATTTTCCCATCTTCATCTTCTGAAACATCATTTTCTTCAGCCCCATTATCCTCCGCTCCAACATCATCATCAGAAAATTCCCTTTCAGATTCATCTTTCTTAAACTTTTCTCGAGTCGAAGGTACAGACTGCTCAAGCTTCTCCTCCTCCTCCTCCACATCATCATCATCTGAATTGTACTCCCTCGCTCTTTTCTGAAACAATTTTTTCATTCTCTTGTCAATATTCACCTTCTTTTGAACACCTTGAGGCATCATTTTTTGTTTTTTCTTTGTCTTTTTAGCTTTCTTGTTTCCTCCTTTCCTATTCCTCGGTCCCTCTTTAACTTCCATTGCCTGCATTACTTCTGTCATGAGCTTGCCTTTCACTACGTTTTCACAAACTGCAGTATCTCCCTACAATAAACTGAAGGCAAAACAAATCAAATAGACAAAAACATTACTACTTAACCATCCTTATTAAAAAATAAAATAAAACTTGCTTTGCTCAACCATCTTTATCAAAAAATTAAAAACGGATTTCTACATTTCAATGAATAATTGCATTTGTCGGGGGGCGGAAACATCTTAGGTCAAGTGGGGTAAGTCACCGGTTACACAGTCACCTGGGGTATAGCTGGGGATATTGGTCCTGGGTGTTTCACCTTTTACACTTGAACGCAAGGGAAAACTATAAACAACCGCATAAAAAATTAAAGAGAAATATTGTAGAAAAAATCACTGTTGCTAGAGGAAAATTTCAATCAAGAAACAACAATTCTGGAAAATAAAATAAATAATAAGGAGTTGAGTTCAAATTAAATCATTCACAACAAATAAAACGAGTCGATTTCAACGATAAATAAAGCCTGTTTTAACACTAATAAAATCCGATACTACCTTCCAAGTTTGGTTGTGAAGGAGTTGAATAGAAATCACTGCAACACAAGATAAATTGGCGCCGAGGAGGTGACGAATATGTTCCCAATTTTTAGTGTAACAACGAGAAAGAAAACCTGGCCGCTCTCCCCCCCTTGCTCTACCAATATAACTTAACAGATTGTAGACGAACAGACATGGGTGGGCCTTTTAACTGGGCTTTACAAATATTTTTGGAAAAAAAAAAAATTCATATTACATTATTACAAAATATTATTTCATGTTTTACTATGCCCTTGTTTGAACCCCATTTTTTTTTAAAATATATTTTCTTGATAAAAATGAGGTTCAAACAAGGGCTATATAATGTTTAAATAACTAAAAATATTTTTTTAGATATGAAATATAATAAAAAATACTAACTTCTAATAATAGAACACAAATAACAATGTGTAATTGAAATCTTTTGAATAATGCACACTTCACGCCTCATATCTTCCAAGAAGAAATGAAATTCAAAAAATTGAGGATGGGTAAAGAATATTTATGGCATCCATGACTTAAACACACCATAGTTTATTCGCGTAAATGTTATACCCTAGGTCCAATCAACTTTGAACATAAATACTTTTGATATATAATTAATGCAATTTAATGACAGATCTATTATTTAATTAATAGACAATTAAATAAATAATAGAGTTCGTAAATTCAAATCTTCGTAATTTGTTAATCACAAGGAGTTGTGATTGTGAGATACAAATTATATACAATTGAATCTTAAATCGTCCGTGGTAGTAAGTAATAACGAGATACGGATATCGTTATTACGGATAGACCATCACGTGTGGCATTTCTTACTTGTGAAGTAAATAGCCGATCTCGCAAGTTAAAGTGTGTTGACACTTATATGAACACGTGGATGTTTTGTTTTAGAACAAAATATTGGAGACCCTCCAAGAGATTTCACATGGATAACTATTTGAATATCAATGGTTAATATTTAACGTTCGATAGTGGAATTGTTCATTTGACTTGAGGTCATCGTGGTACCTTATATGAGGACAGTTAGACTTTGGCGGTGTTGGATGTTGCTCTACAAAGGGCCGCTAATACGACATTGTTCGGGGACGTCAAGAATCGTATGAAGGTTTTGATTGACCAATAAAGGATTCGTCACTCTTAGATAATAGGAGATTATGATCTGCGTTTCATTCAATTAAGTCAATAATGAAATTCTTGGCCAAGGTGTGCTCATAAGTCGAAAAGGAGTTTTCGACTTATATTGACTTAATAGTGGAGTGAAAGATATGATCGATAATCGAGATTGACACGCTTCCATATCTCGTTATTAATCGGATCATATTGACGAAAGGATTATAGTTTCACGGTAAACGAACGAATTTGATTTTGTCATATCACATGACATTTTTCGTCACACGCATTGCCCTGACACATTGCTAGATGTCAATCTGGGACAGCGAGTGTGAATTGAAAATAAATTAAAAAGGGTGTTTTAATTTATTAATTTTAATTAGATCAAAATAATATTTCACGTTGTTAGATATCGTGATCGGGAATCTGATGGATCCCACACAAAAGAAAATTGGAAGATTGTAATTTGTCAATTAATTAATTTAACAATCATTGGATAAATTAATTAATTGATTTTGTTATTTATAGGCCCGAATTAATTAATTGGATTAATTAATTCACGGACCGGACCGGACCGGACCAGGCCCTTTGGGCTTATATAAATATATGGTTAGGGTTTTCAATCTATATGTTTTTTTCATAATTATTCTTGCTAGCACAAGAGGAGAAAACCCTGGTAGCTGCAATCTTGTTCTCTGTGTGGATCACCTTTGGAGACTGAACAATTGGACAGTCATGGGTGGCGAATCAAGATTGCTGGAATTAAAAGAATGGCAAAGAAGTTTGCAAATCTGGAAAAGGTACAATCTTATCACAATTTCTATCTAAACACAAAGGCGATTCTTGGTGAGAATCAAAATCTGTTTTAATTTTTCACTGTGCATGTTAAGTAGATTCCCAACAGTGGTATCATAGCCTATTTTATGTTTGTTGGAAATTGTTTAACATCATTGTACAATCAAAAGTTGATTATTGTGTTTTTTTTTCTAGTTTCTAGCAATTAAAGAAATTTAATTTTCAAAATTTTGAAATCTGATTTTGCATAGAAATTTTTTTAGATCGGAATAAATTAAATGAATAAATAAAAAGGCGGAGTCTGAGCCGACACCACCGCCTCCGCAGCAACGATGGTGCTAGCGGCGCCAACCACAGCTGTCGTGGGCAGTGTCGGGCGTTGCTGCCGAACATGGCAGCAGTGCCTGCTTCCGGGCACTACAGGGAGACGGCTGGCGCCGCCAAGAGAAGAAGAAGGAGCGCCATCCAAGAAGGAAGAAATCTTAGGGTTTTTAGTTCGATTTAGGGTGAAATGGAGGCTGGGGCCTCTGACACAATTTGTGAAATTGCAAGCCTCCGTTTGCAATATCCATTTTGGGGTCAGTTGGTAAATTTTTTTAAGTAAGGGTAGTTCTCGCAATATTTGATATTGAGGACCCCTTTACCTGCAATTCGATTTTCGGGGTCTGATTGCAATAAATAAATGAAAGGGATTCTCTGCAATTTCTTTATTTGTGAGGTCCTGATTATAAATTCAAGTTTGGATCAAAATACAATTTCAAAATTGTTTTGAATTTATATTTTGGAATGCTTTTAAATTTGATTTTAATGGGTTTGACCTATAAATTTAATTTTAACCCAAATTAAAATTTTATTTAAAATTGACGACATTTTATATTTTCGTTAAAATTGGATTTTAACTTAAATATTAAACTTTGACCCAACTGAATTTTATTTTATTTGGGAGTGTTACCCTAGATTAAAATATTAATTCAATTTAAATTAGAGTTTGATTTTAATTTAATACTTAATTAAATTTTGATTTTAATTAATTATTCACCCGATTATATTTTTAAAATTAGAATTGAATTCTAATCTGACATTTAATTAAAATTTGATTTTAATTAAATTGTGTTGCCCTAAAATTTTATTTAAGATTGGAGTTAGACTCTAATTTGTGTTTAATTAAAATTTGATTTCAATTAAACATGTTCGCCCTAAGATCTTGGAATTAGAGTTGGACTCTAATTTTGTTATTTAATTAAAATTTGATTTTAATTCAACCGCCTTAAATTTTGAAATTAGATTTTGACTCTAATTTGATATTTAATTAAAATTTGATTTTAATTAAATTATCCCACCCTATAATTGTTAAGTTAGAGTTGGACTCTAATTCAATATTTAATTAAATTTTGATTTTAATTAAATATGCCCACTAATTAAATAATTGATTAATATGATTAATTAATTATTTAATTGTTCAGATCCATTTATCTAAAAGAGTTGAGACAATCTTAATTGCTAGAAATTTGAAACGTATTAGCATATAATATTAGATATTATATATACATGCATTTATGTTATGAATGTATTATTAGTGGACGATTATGGACTCGACCATATGGATGTGTTGAATGGTTAATTTTTATTTTTGTCGTTTTGTGAGCTTGCGAGCTCTTAATTGTTATGAGCCTGCGAGCCCGTTATTATTGTTATTTTTGTGGGCCTGCGAGCTCTTAATTATTTTGGGCCTGTGAGCCCATTATTATTATTATTACTATGGGCATGCGAGTCCAATTTCATTTAAGCCTAGGTGCCAACTAGTATAAAATACAGGTTGCAGTTGGACTAATTGAAGAGACAAGAAGAGAAGGACACCATAGAGATGGTGCATTGATACTATTCAATGCTATATCCCCTAGGAATTGACCAACTAGTCTTCCTTATGACTTGGGAAGACTAGATAGTAAAAGTTCATAATCGTCCACACTATTATATTATGTTATATATATTTATTTGTATGGTAGATGTATAATAAAATATATATCATTGTTACGAAGAGACATTTGAATGCAAAATCTCTCCATAAAATATTAAGTCACATTTATAATCGTCTTCCATCATTATAGTGAAAAATCAGAGTCCCAAATCGTCTCAACTTGTTGAGTACACTCAAGGCTTGTCTATTAAGGATATGTTTGACACTATGAAATATTTGATATTTTTGAATGACGGATTTGACTTAACTAAAATATATCTTATGTTGAGTACACTCAATGAGATAAATTTTAGAGGCATGTTAAACTAACACATAAGATGTGTAATGACAAAGAGTTGTCGGCTTAATGATCTGAGAGTTATATGGAGATACAATTGATAATAGTATCTACTCAAATGTTATATTAAGGCTTGTTGAGTACTCTCAAGGTCTTTGTATAACAGATGGAATCTCAGCCCACTGGGAGTCGAGTATGGACTCCATAAATTTATGTGAGAGGATCATAATTTTGAATTAAACAGTGGGAGCATAATTAATTTAATAAAAGTCCATGTTAAATTAATTGATATATTTTATATATTATTCTTTTTCTTTTCATCATTTATATTTATTGAATCGTGAGTTACCATGTGTATTGGAGAGGCATATTGGATGCAAACAACCAAATTAAATCTTCTTGATTGGCACTGCAATTTGAAAATTGTTCTCAAGCATGAGAAGTTAGTTGTCCTTAAGTAGCCATTTTCCAGAGACACCTGGTGATGACTCGATTAAGGAAGAGGTGGCTACTATAATAAACGCAGTAATGACAATAGTATTGCAACATATGTGATACCTGTAACTATGTCACCTAAGTTACAAAAGCAACTTGAGAGTGTAGATATTAACACATAATTCTTCATTACAAAGAGTCGTACGATAATAATCATGTGTGGAAGGATATGAGACTTTCAAACAACTATACCGATGCAAAGTGACAAAAGAATCTTCAGTCAATCCTCATGTACTGAAGATGATTGACACGAGAAGTGTCTCAATTGAGTTCAATCATTAACTATGAACTAAGTATTGACTTAGCTCTGCAATCTCTGTCATAGAGTTATTCATACTAATTATGAATTATGATATGAATAAACTCGAATGCATACTCATTAAGTTGCTTAACTGCTTAGGACTGTGAAACCCTTTATCAAAGTTGGTAGTGGGCAAACCATTGATTCCTCTAAAAGTGTTAAGAAGAAATCTAAAGGGGTTTTGA